CTGCCGGCTGCCTGGCTGCTGGCTGCCATCTTGGCTGGCAGTTAATTTGCATATTGCCCTGATTAGCCAATGGGAAGGGTAGCGGTCGTATGCTAATTACCATGTTTCACTTTTATTAGATAGGAATATTATCTTTATTTATTATAAACTAGAGACCTGGTGCACGAATTCATGCACTGGTGGGGTCCCTTGGCCTGGCCGGCAATCAGGGCTGGCCCACCCAGTCCCAATTGGGGCCGAAGGGGGCCAGCTGGCCTGGAGGGACCACCAGAAGGCTCCAGGGCATGTCCGACTCTCTCACCCAGTCCCAATGGGTCTGACCCCAGCAGCAAGATAACCTACCAGTCGGAGCGTCTGCCCCCTGGTCGTCAGTGTGCATCATAGCGACTGGTCAAGCGGCTAACTGAATGGTCACTTAGTGTCCGATCTGTCGGACACTTAGCATATTACGCTTTTATTATGTAGGATTTATTTATATACACACTGGCTTTAAATATAAGAATTTTCAACTACTACATAGAATGCTTGAACAGCAGACTAGACCTAGAAGAAAATATTTGTGACTGGAAGAAAGATTTCAGGAAACGACCTAAGATTGTAAGAGACAGACAAGGAGATGTAACCTGTGAAAGAGAGGTTGGGAAATAAGGTCAGACCAAAGTCTAACATACTAATTGAAGTCTAGAGGAAAAGAATAAAGGAGAGGCAATGGCTAAGGCAGTAATGACTAGGAAATGATAAAATTAAACAGAAAACAACACAATCCAACAAATAAAGGATACACAAGGTATGCTTAAACAGGAGAAATGAAAATAATCCATGCCTAGAAACAATGTAGTAAAACTGTATAACATTAAAAATGAAAACAATATTAAAAGCAAAGAGTTAGAAAAGTCAGTTTATCTAAAAGGGAATGACAATTGAGGCTAAAAAGAGATTTCTAGACAATAAGAAAGAAAACAAAAAATGGCTAAATAAGTGATAGAAGAAAAAAAAAAGGAATAAGTGATAGGAGGGGGTAAAAAACTATCAATCCAGAATTGTATATCTATCTTTGAATAGTTTTGAAGAGAAAAAAATAAATACAAAAACCTAAGAGTTGATCACCATTAGACTTTGCAGAAAAGGAACTTAAGGTTTTTTCAGAAGAAAAGAAATAGAGAGAAAAACAAACCCCTCAACTACTATCTGTATCAAATATCATTTAATTTGTGATGTCTTGAAAAAAAATAAACACAAGACACCAAAATGATGGAGGCTATCACCTATAAATCTAGAGTAGGATGATCAGAGTTAAGTGTTCTAAGGTTAAAAGATTAACTTTAGAAACAGAGGAAAATATCAATGCTATTTTAAAAACAAAACAAAGAAAGTATGTACTTCCTAAAAAAGTAGGAAGCAAAAATTTAAGAAGAAGAAAAAGGTCAAGAAACCCAAACCCTTGATCAATTGAAAATAAGATATGAGGGAGAAGGAGAGAATGTGTACACTCCTTATTCAGGCAGCTTATTTGAGAATTTAAGAACAAAATAAATAAAATAAAAACTTCTTGTGTATTTTGAAATGTATAAAAATGAACAGTTTGAAAACACTAGGTTTGCTTTCAACATATAAGCTTTATAAAAATGAAAATTTACCTTCCATATCTTCATACTCCTGATCTCCCACATTTAAGGTATAGACAGTTTTCTTCTTCATTTCTCCTTGAAAAGGGGTTGCCTATAAGATGAATTACAATAGAGACTTTTAATGTATGCCTTCTCCCAATAATATAAAAAAAGACCCAAAACTATAAGAAATTATTTTACACATAAGATAACATAGTACAAGCTGGTAAATTTTGTGGATAATCCAGTACATTTTTATACTCCTTGCCATCAAGTACACTGAAAGGAAAAGCCTTACATAAGTATTAACCAACAAAGACTAAATGATAAATTGTGTGGTCAGACATAAATACAATTGGAACACAGAAAAAAGATATCAATTTGGACTAGATTTTTCATTGAAGGTGATAGGTTATATATGTTGAGGAGTTCAAGGCAACAAAGAAACAACATAGTATAAAGGAAAAAAATAGTATTTACTAGGCCAATCTGACAAGAAATAAGTGAAACTGAGAGAGAGTGAGTGTGCGTGTGTGTATGTACTGAGGAAGGATGAGCATGTATGCCAAGAAGTTCATCAGAAAGATTACAATGAGGAGTAATGAGAGTAATAAGAAGAGCAATGTAAATCAAGTAGAATTAGATTATAGAGGTATCACTAATGGTTTACTAATAAGTTTAAATTCAATCTTATACAAATAAATAAATAAATAAATAAATACAAAAGATCAATGAAACCAAGAGCTGGTTCATTGAAAGGATAAACAAGATTGATGAACCTCTAGCCAGGTTCACCAAGAAGGAGAGAGGACCCAAATAAACAAAATCAGAAATGAAAGAGGCGAAATAATAGCAGACCCCACAGAAATACAAAGGATTGTGAAAACAATTACTATGAATAACTATATTCCAACAAACTGGTGAACCTAAAAGAAATGGACATATTCCTAGAAAAATACAACCTTCCAAAACACAATCAGGAAGAATAAAAAAAATTTGAAAAGGCTGATAACTATGGAGGAAATTGAAGCAGTATTTAAAAAAACTTCCAGCAAACAAAAGCCCTGGGCCAGACGGAATCACAGGGGAGTTTTACCAAACACTGAAAAAGGAACTAAAACCTATCCTTCTCAGACTATTCCAAAAAATTCAAGAGGAAGGAACACTTCCAAGCTCTTTTTTTAAAGACAGCATTACCCTAAACCCAAAACCAGATAAAGACACTACAAAGATAGAGAATTATAGACCAATATCCCTGATACACATAGATGCTAAAATCCTCAACAAAATTCTAACAAATCAGATCCAGCATTACATTAGAAAGATCATACACCAAGACCAAGTGGATTTATTCCAGGGACGCAAAGATGGTACAATATCTGCAAATCAATAAACATGATACATCACATAAACAAATTGATAGATCAAAATCACAT